CGGCGCTTCTCTCGATTGCTCTGAGGGCCTCCGCCTCCTCGGCCGCTTCCTGCTTCGCCCCCCCACACCAGCGCTCGCGAATCGGCATTGGACCGCTCGCACGCCACTCCAGAGGCATGGCGGCTAACCGTTGGCCGAGAGGGACGTCGCTCAAAGGCGGGAGCAGGCGCTCCGGATGGCTATAGGGTCAAAAGCCTTCGCTACAGAGGGATGCACCGCCCACTTCGACCTCAGTACTCATTGGAGTCGAGGAAGCGGAGAGGGCTGGCTTATTACTGTCGCCTTGTTGACCTATTGGTTGGACGGCCTGCCTATCGACGCTCGGCACGCCTTATCCGCTGGCCGGGGGAAGATCGTTCCGTGCGACCCAGCGGGGGGGATTCATTCGGCAGGGTGAGCCCCATCGGTTTTATTGGCTAAGAGTGCCATAGTTGCCCAGGGGCTTCTCGTCGCGATTGGCTCTCACGAACGTCACCCAGGCTGACACCGAATGTCGCTTTTCAATTGGTGAAAAATCTGTTTCAGGCGGGACCTTCGTTATATTGACTCATTGCTTGAGAGCACAGCAACCGCAGCAGGTGTAACGAACCGCCTATTGGCGCTCGACCATGGAGAGGCGGGGCTTTGTCCCCGTATCCCAGTCATCTTATTGCGTATTACTCCCGCCATTCAAATAAATTGTCCGCCCTCCAAGGGCTTGAAAACATGAAAAACACCAACTCGCAAGGCATGATGGGAGGCGGAGAGTCCACGGGAGCCGCGCAAGGGCGCCTGGGAGAAAATGACTCAGGGAGGGCGCAAAGGATTGTGGGCGATATTCACCAATCTGCACTTCCGGCGAGGGAAAAATGTGCTTTTTTAAATAAAAAAACCCATGAAACTGATTTATGCTTAAAAATTTAACAATTGCCTATGCCAAGGCTCCCAAAACTTGGCAACTTTTAAGACTTGTGGACTTTCAACTCCCAGAATTCCTCAGCCAGCTATTCTGGGGGATTCTGGGAGTTGAAGTCCACAAGTCTTATACAGTCGCCAAGTTTGGAGAACCTTGGCCTGGAGGAAGGAGGCCTGGTCAAAAAATTGCCTTCCTTTCCTCTCCAAGCCAAGCATATTATTGCCCAAGCCAGCATGGAAAACCCTGTCCAAGCCAGTATTGCTCCCCCTGGCCTACCTCGCAGGGGTGTTGCTCAGATTAAGACAGTGAGATGGCTGGGGAAACCAAGAAAAACCCAGTGGATAAAACCTTGAGGCAGACGGCCTTTGCGCTTGTAACCCTAATCGCTTTTTCAGCTCTACACAGGAAGTTTCGCCCATGAGGACTAGAACCCTGAGGAGGCCGGAGTCTCGAGTCCAGCAAAAGAGCGGCGGCTTTGTCCTTTGTTTCTCCACCTGCCTCGGTTGCAAAGCCAGATCTTGATCTCCCTGGCCCAGCTCGCCGTGTCAGTCCAGCCTGGAACAATCTTCCCTTTGTGCTCCGCTGAGGCCAGGGTCTCCGTCTCCCTCTCCCCGAGGCCGGGCTTTGGACACCTTCCAAGGCCGCCGTGACGAGGCTCTTTTCCTCGGAGGGAGAGCAGCGGCCTTGCTTGGGCCCAGTTGGGGCGAACGGCCAGCCCCGGAGCCTCCCTGTCAAAAGCGCCTTGTTTGCAATATCAAGTGGTGCAACGTGAGCTGAACAAAACAGAGATGGGCCCTCCTGTCCAGCCGTCTTCTTGGCCCCTGAAACAAAGGCTGCCTTCTTCCTCTGCCTCTCCTTCTCTCTTTCCTTGCAACCGGAGAGGTGAAATGGATGACTTCGTTTTTGGCTTCTGGGCTTCTCTCCTGCGCTGCTTTCAACCTCCCCTCTTCCTTTCCCCTTCACCTTTGAGAAATAAACACCTGACTCGAAGGATGATGCAGCAAGACGCTGAGCTGAATCTTCCCTTTCTATTCGGCATGGATCTTGGCCAAAGGTCAGCAAAGTAATACTTTTTGGAGTGTCGGGAGAGATAAAGCAATACCTCCAAAAAATTAACTTTGAATTGTGTAAAACTCGACTCTAGTAACTTTCTTCAGGAGAAAAAAAAAGGGAGGGGGAGACAATATCCCACGCCTCAGGCTGGGTATCTCTGCATTTTCTCTAATAAAGGGATTTTTCTTACCTGAGAGGAAAATACCTGTTTTCTAATCCTGCCTTCAAACTTGCTGTCAGGCGCAGAAGGATTTCTAGCTCAGAGGATGCCCAGCTGGGAAATTTATAGAGGCTCATTGTTCGTCTCGGCTGGGAGCCGGGTGGGTGAGGCTTTCACGAGTCCAACGGCTATAAAAGAGGCGATGTGACCCTCTTCCTTACCATCGTGGGCTTCTACCTGGAGCCCATCCCACAGGACATGGCCAATGAAGAAAAGCACCCCGATTCCTGGCCAGGAGGGCTGCACCCGAAGAGCCCTCCTTATGTAAGTGGGCTTCGAGGCAGACCGACTGGGCGTTTGGGATCGTTGTCCTCGAGTTGCGTCGTCTGTCTCTTTCTGAAACTTCTCAATTGGTTTGACAGTCTCTCCCCTCCAGTCTGGAGCTCACCAAGACCCCCGTGGCCTCGAACCACAAACTGGTGATCCTGACAGCGGGCGCCATCGCCGTTCTTTCCATCAGCGTCACTGGGATCCTCGTGGCGACGTTCCTGGGCCGGTCAGCTTGTGTCCAGGTACAGTAAGGGAGTGGACTGACCGTCTCTGAATGGGGCTAATCGGGAGGCTCCATTAACAAGGGGCCAGAGCACAGAGCAGAAATGGCCAGGTGACAATTTCTGAGCTGGTCAGGTTAAAAGAGGGAGGTCACACCCAGTTAATAACATCTTTGAATTGAGGTAGGATTGTGCCCCGTGACACAGCTGGCATTTCCCTTGCTCCGCTGGAGAAGTCCGGATGGAAGGCCGCCTTGAACCCAAATCTGATGGTCTCCCCACTTTTTTCTTCCCCTTCCCCTGCTTGAAGAGGGGCACCTTTGGCTACCCTGCCCAAGTCAACGTCCAAAATGAAGCATCCCTGCTCCTGGCTCTCGGCGAACTTGACGAACAGGGACTCTCCCCCGGCATCACCTGCGATTTGAGAAACGTGAGTCACGGCATCCAGCCGGAGCTTCAAGGGGGTGACTTGGGGTGGTCCCTGCCTTTCCTCCCCCCGCCCCACCCACAAAGGTCCCTGGAATTTCTGAGGGTTTCCCCTTCACCATCTCCAAAGCAGGGAATTTAAAGCCCTCGTGAGTTTCTTGAATTGCAAAACGTAAGAGCCAGGATAGTTTAGTCTTAGTTAAATCTTTACGCCGTTACGGACATAAAACGCTTTTGCATTTCACCCTTCTTTTAAAACGGCGATGTTTTAAATAGCAAAAATTTTGGTGGAAGGAAGAGGTGTTTACTTGAGATCTAGCAGGAGCAGAGATGACCCAGAGGGAAATGCCAACCTCTTGTCTTTGGGTTTTCTCCCCAGCGCCTGATGGTGTATCACGGCCAGCCGGAGGGGTGTCTCACCCGCAAAATGGACCCCTCTGAAGTTCTGCCGTCCTGCCAGGAGCTGGAAACCTTCTTCCAAGCTGTCCTGGTAAATCTCCTCCGCTGCTTTGGGGCAAAGGGATGCTATTTATTCCCCTTGTAGAGAGCAGATGCTCTGGATACAACTCTTGCTTCTGTCTCTTTCTCCAGCTGTTTCCCTCTTGCCGTTGCGAAGCAGAGAAATGGGGGGCAAAGGGGGGGGGAGGAGGAGAGGGATGATCCAAAGCCAACTTTGCTCGATTCTCTTGCAGAAAAATGTCACTATGGGGATCACCACAGAGGTACAGATGATGGAGACGGGGGCACTGGGGGCCCTGGTCACGTTGCTCTGTAGCAACAAGCCGACATACCTGGTTGCAAACTCAGCGTGTAAGTTGCGTGGATGGGTCGAGGTGGGCAAAGCAGGCCTCCCTCTGCATCCCAGATTTGGGGAAGATTGCAAGGCTGTTTCCTAACCATAACCCACCTTCCTTCCCTCATTCCAACAAAGCCAGATCTCTCTCTTCTTTTTTTCCCCCCTCACCAGTGGCTTCTCAGAGAACCAGAACTCCTTAGGAAAGAGATCCCCCTCATTCCTTCCTGATAAAACCTTCCCCTGCCACGGAAGAGGTCACAAGACGGTTTTACACGGCTGTGGAAGGCAAGCCACAAGGCAGAGACCGACCTCCCCGGCGCCTTTAAAAACCACTGAATTTGTAGCACTCAATAAAGAAAACGTGGAAGGATTTGGTCTGGATAATGGGATTCAGTTAAGAAAAACCCTCCGTGTTTCCAAAGTTCCCAATTCTTTTTTAAGAACAGGGGGGGGAAGAGAGGCCAGAAAAGTCTGTTCACGGCCACTGATCTTTAAAAGTTAAAACTAAAAACAACAGCCGGTGACTGTGTGCAGCAGACTTAACGAAACTTAAATCACAGGCAGGAGGGATTGTGATCTCCTCGGATGCAAATCCAGGCATCTTCCGATGTTTGGGCTACCGCAGCCTAACACGGCTCTCCTCCTGCAACCCATCACGGAGAGAGAGAAATACTCACTGGTCTTAAGCGATGCAGTGTTTTATAATCGGCAATAATCATGGTTACAGGAGAGGGGGCCCATTTCCATGTTTTGCTAGAATTCTCCTCTGGGAGCATCTAACAGACGAGGATCCAGAAATAAAAAATCCCTGGGGGAGAAATGGATCTGGATGGAGGTTTAGGAGCTGGGATTACACAGGGATGAAATGTCACTTTTTCATCTCTCTCCCTCCGTCACAGAGACAGAGGTTCACACACACCCCACTCCCCTGGGGACACATCAGGTGCTTTCTGCAAAGAAACAACACCAAATATGGAGAAAATTTAAGGGTTTTATTAACTGTTGAACCACAAGCAAAATGCGAAAAGGACACCCCCCCCATCCCACCCCCGTGGACCCCACCTCCCTGCAGACAGACAAACCCAGAAAGATTATGGAAACCGAACGCTACCAGGCCGCACAACCTGGGAGGTGCGTGTGGACAGAAGGATGAGGAGGGATTCGGCTGCTCCCCAGCCCCCCCCCAGCTCATTTCTTCTCTTCCTCCTTTTTCTCCTTGCTTTCCTTGGAGGCCTGGGAGGCCAGGGACCCCATAGCGTTGCGGATGGCCTCGTTGTTGGGGTCCACCCCCGGCAGGTTCTCCAAAACGCTCTGCAGGAATTCGGGATCCTGCATGACATCGTAGTCATCTTCTTCCTGAGGGAGGGAGGGAGGGACGTCGCAGTGAGCCACGGCTGGGTTAATCTGGGATTAGGGAACAGACCACGATGGGAGCCCACACCCCACCCCGTAAACCAGGTGTTCTGGGAAAGCTGGCCGGGCAGGAGAGGAGGCCAGGCCCAGGTACACGCTGTGCCCGAATTCCCCTCTTCTGCATCACTGACTTTTTATTTCAAAATGAAGAATTGCTTGGTGAGGTTTCCCCAAACGGCACCGGGACCTGGGCCAGGGGGGACATCCTGTCTCGTGACCCCCTTCAAGCCCAGCTCGGTCCCCCCCAAAACTCAAACCTTGGCGGGTTCTGACGTGTCCATATCAGCCGAGCTCTCCCCCTCCACCGACTCCCCTTGCCCAAATTCTGGAAAGAGAGAGAAGAGATTGGTGGCAAGGCCAGTGCACTGGTCACGCTTCTCCAGCCGCATTGCTGGGATTGCCCTGGCCTGTCACGCCTTCTCTCTCCCCCCCCCCCTCCTCACCAGCTCCCTGAAGAGACATCTGCATAGCGTAGGCTATCTGCTCCTCTTCGGTCATGGTGCTGAGGTCAGGCAGGCCGGCTCGGCCAAAATCCTGCTGCCCAATGGTCATCTTCAACAGGGCATCGTCTGAATCTGAAACATGAGAAAAGAGGTGAGCTCACGTTGGCAGGTGGTGGGGCTTCAAAACTGCACCCCCCGAGCGATTTCTCAGCTTTCCCGTTGGCATGCAAATACATGGAGTTTCTTCCCCGCATTTTCAAAGATGGCTTTGAGACTAATTCCGTGTGGCATACAGCTAAAGACAGACGGTTTTTAAAAAAAATTATTCAATTCAGAAAGTTAAAATACAAACTCCAAAACAATAATTACAAGCAAAAAAAGGACAAAACATGAAAAAAAAATGCATTAAATAGGACAAAAGGCAAACACTCGCTCACACTTATCACCCCTTGGTTGGTTTACGGATAAATATAATGCCACAACGTTAGTTTCTCCCGTTTTGAACACATAGCAGAGTTCAATCCTTGCTTGCTCAGGAAAGGAGGAAAACCAAGGGCCTCCAGAGAGAGGAAGCGTGCGGCCCTCCCCGTCCGCAATGCCAAGCTCTTCTCTTACCATCCCCTCCCGTGGCAGGGATGCCAGCCTCAGCAGCAGAGGCAGCCGCCGCCCTGCGAGCCTCTTCCTCCTGCCGTTGGCGCTGTTCTTCCATTGACACTCGGAGGGCCTGGAGGGGCAGAGGAAACATCAGGAGCCCCTTCCCCAATGCCAGTTTGGGATCCATCTACCAGAGTAAGGAGGGCCCAACTTTGGCAAAGTTTGTGGACTTCAACTCCCAGAATTCCCCAGCCAGCACAGCTTCCATGGGGCAAGCTGTGCTGGCTGGGGAATTCTGGGAGTTGAAGTCCAACAGGTCTTAAACGTTGCCAAAATTGGCCGCCCAGACAATTCACATAAGTTAACTCATTCTGGGAATTGCAAGCCAGCCGCCTGAGAGGTTGGAGAAAGCAGATTCCCAGAGCGCCTTACCAATGCCAGCTCTGGGTCGGCGCTGGGATCCACGCCGAACTCGAAGTCGCTCGCCCCCAGGCCCAGCATGGCTCCCCCTTCTCCGGCCAAGATGGGGGAGCTGATGAGGGCGTCGGCCAAGCTGGGCCCCGGAGGCACCGTCACCAGGTGGGAACCGGTGCCGTCTTTGCCGTTCAGGGTGTTGATGAAAGCGGTCAGCTTGTCCGTGTTGGCCTCCTGCAGAGCAGAGGAAGGAGGGAAGGAAGGAAGGAAGGAAGGAAGGAAGGAAGGAAGGAAGGAAGGAAGGAAGGAAGGAA